AATCAATTCTATCAGAATGGAAACAAAGACAATCCCTTTTGCATAAATGGTAAAAAACAAAAAGAGAGTCAGAACGGGGAGATGTCATTACCCCAATAATCAACCAAATATTATAGATAATTCGGGATGGAAGCAATGCCATTCGACTGTATAAGATGCAAAAATTGTATCATTTTATTCATCAATCTTTCATTATTGATGTGGAATTCATCAAGATGTCACAAGTGATTTTGGGGTCTAATGGAATCCTTATCGAGATTCTGTAGGAGTGGAAAGTTGTATAAAATTTGAGCTATTAACTAACTAAACAAACATTTATTCGAAGCACACTTTTTGATTAATGAACGAAAGTTTAACAAAAATCCATTTTTGATTCTATAGTCCAACACTTCCGTTACTTACGATTCGTGCCATTTACGAAATATTTTTTGAGGCCACTGACACACTCTTGAAACCCGCTGAACTTCCAAAAATGACTGATTTTAAAGTTCTTCATCCGTTAAGTACCCATTGTACATACTTGTGAGGTTGCGAACAGAACTTCGCAAGTTGAAGAAGTATTGAACGTCATAGTCGGAATAAGGATATCGTTTGTCAATCATTTTTAGACATTTGTTGCAAAAATATCTTATATCTGACTGAGAAAGAGCATTGGGTGCAGAAAAAGCCAGTTCACGCAATTCAAGTGACATAAAACTGGAAGGAGGGATACATTTGGATGTAACACGATTCCAGGACAGAATAGTACCAATGATTACACAGTGTATGATTGTATTTCCTCTGGGAAACGGAAACGTATTATTCTCTGTTTATCTCATGCCTAAATTTGGATCTTTTAGAGATACTACGCAGCGACGACGATTCGTCTCGTAAAACATCTATCAATGATCTCGTGTTAAAAACATTCGGTACAAATCTCCTGACGTGAATTGAGAAATTTAACGAATATAACGTCCTTTTGGAAATAATTCAGGACGGGCTAGCATTGAACTGCATCTTTTTGATCATTCGGACGCGTACTGTTTGTAGTATTCATTACACAACGTTGCTATCATGCAAGTTTCCAATTTAGCAGGAGAAATTTAAGGTCTTTTTGGTTCTTACTACATTCATCGGTAGCACACGAAAATTCGGTGATAGCCGACAGCCTCGTTCTCCCCATCGTTAAACCATGGTTATAGACTTAAAGCTCCATAAGATATCCCGTTTCAAGTGCCCAAAATTGGAAGCCATTTTTACGTTCGTGAAAACGGAGCTATCTAAACAAGATAAATACAATCACATGCGGAAGAATGTAAGGAAAATCATCGAAAAAGTTACATTTGAAGGAGGTATCACTCATGTGTTGAAAAGGCGTACGAGTGTGCTGAAAAACTGAGTAGCTTGCATAAAATACTGACGGTGGTGTCAGTTACAGTTTCTTGTGCACATTCCCTAGAAAGCCATTCAAAGTGAACCTTTTTTATTGTTTGTGCTAGTTTGTGCATAGTTCAGATAAATATGCAAGCACTGTTAAATGGATTAGTATTTACCTTCGGAAATGCAATAAAAAATGTATAAGCTTACATGAAAAGAAAAAAACAACAACATTGCGAATGACCAAAAATGATATGGATAACAGACTAGGGTCCAACGTTTAAGTGGCGGAAAGACCAAAAGGAGAAGCGTCCCAACAGTTTTGATAAATTCTGCACTGGTGTGAAAATAAGGCTGCTCCTTAGTGTCAAAGAAGAACAGAGTGTTGATAACAGTGTTAATACTATAATATCATAATATTGAATAAAATGTGATTAAATTATTGAGAGGATAATAATCTATACAGTATGCCTAACAATGAATCTTGGCTGAATGGAAACAGTTGGGTTACTCATCTGAACCCGTAAAACGTTTGAGTCTGTGAGAAGAATGGAGTATGAAAGACGCATTTGTTTATGATAGACTTAGGTTAATCTTAATAAGTTTGACGCGCAACCATTATTTGGCTCGGTTAAACGTACACTCTGAAAGAACTAACCTCTAGATGTATTCCTGTTAGGGCACGTATGCACCAGTTAAATGGTTCCCAACAAAGGTATTTAATGATTATTTTGAAGATAAATTAAAGAAAGGATGATATATTTTCAAGTAAAGTGTACTCACCGATTCAATTCTCCTGTACACCGGGACCAGGTAGACTCATCAAATAAATGGAATCTTTTAAGCGCTCAGGGCATCGATTGTGATCAAATCAGCCGATCATGAAATTCGCTCTTTTTCTGAGATCGGTAGTTAGCTTAGTTCACTATTGCAAACAATCATTCTGTTGCCTGAGAATTAGTGAAGCCCATTGGTTAACCTAGAAGCCTATACTCAATTGTTTATAAGATTCTGAATGTATATTTGAGTGCGAAGTGTTTCTCCAGCATTACAATGATTATAGAATTTCATTAATAATAATCATTGTTCGAATTCAGTAGATTTTCCCAATACATAAAAACTATCTTATTCGCTGAACAGAACTGATAGCATTCTTCCGTCAGAAGATCAAAGCCGTGTCGCCGTGACATTCGTTCTTTCAAGAATTATTTGAAAAGACCATGAAGCTTCCCAAACAAGATGCATGGCATTTTCGACGTTGTTAAATCGAATGAGAATGTTTATTCGTCACATCTAATCGCGCGATGTGTTACGCACAAAGAATAATCACTTTTCAATGAAGGAATGGTTCAGCGCTTAAATAAAAAGTTTACAATATCAGATTCTGCTGCTCCATGCAATTAAAAATTGAATACTAACGTCACACGTAAGTTGCACATGTTGCTACAATGATGATAACCTCGAAAGCTCAGGAAAAGGATCCGACCAAACCTCGATCCGGTTTCAGGCATCAAATTCCATATCTTGTGACCGATTGATGCGTTCAATTCAATTGTTCAGATGAAATGTAGGTGAACGTTTGTGAAAAATCAATATATTTGACACAACATATTCTAAATCATTGTATTTAAACATTTAGAACCATGGAAAATATTCTTTTCTATTTTGCTGTACGAACAAAGAAAACGAAACTTGATACTAGGAAAATCTCAACTGATTTTGAAATTACTGTACCTACCAAGAATTATTTATATAAGGACCGGGGTAAAAGCAATTAAAAGCCATTGAACAGAGCCTAATCACACAATCAGTGTGTTCGAGGATTTTCGTCTTCTCTACACGGTCAAGAGTTGGTTATCCAAAGAAGATAAGTTCGGAATTTTTTCAACAACCGAGACGATTGCTATCCGTTCCCCAAACTCTCGCCCCCTTGTGCGCCCGGAAACAGGTTGTAAGAACACTGGTCTTACCATAGCCATCCATTGAGAATCTGGTGACGTAACCTGCGTTCATGAAATCTCACTCATTCACCTTCTCACCCATTCACCATCACCCTCTGTCTTCCACTTTTCACGCTTGCAGGCGGATATGCACACCAAAAAACATCAATTATTGAAATTCCATCATCTCTCTTTAAACTCTGATTTCCTTCGCAAATGTGTCTCCGCTCACCACCTGTTTAATCTATTATAAATTGTACTGTGTTTAGTCAGTTGATCTAGCACCGAAAACGACCTTATATGCTAACTTGTGTTCTAATCTTAGTTAATTGAGGCATGTAGCATGATATTAGTATAATCTCGAGTGAATTTGAGAAACTAACGAATCTGAATTTTTGTTTGATGTTTACTAAATACTGGAACCATCAAAGTGTGTATGATTCTGCTGATTGAAATACTTTTAGATTACGCAATTTTTTGAGTAAGAAGATTGATTAACTTTTTCAGAATCTGTTAAATCTGAATTTTTTCGACTACGAACTTTTCAACAACAAAATCTGTACCCCTATTAAAGTGTTTTTTAAACTTTCATTTATGCGGCGCAATATTTTGTTTTTACCTACAGATGATCCGAACAGTATCTATCTATGTTACGGACACAGCACAATGATATAATGATCCATTATCGGCTCTTGCGAATAAATTATAATATAGCTTGATCTGTTCTATTTATGGTTATGGGTAGTGGAGTTATGCTATCAGTTATTGGAATATTCATTAGACGTACTCAGGTTATATTGCTTAAACTGTTCCCGGTTAGTTCAGTATAATGAATTTATAAGACGATCGGCATCAAATTATGTTGAAGCAAAATAAAGTTATTTTTAGGCATTCGCATAGTTCCTGAATGTATGAAAACCTCCTCGAATCCTCCATGTTATTTCACGTTGGAATTGTGAGAGATAGAATTTTATGAAAGTTGTATTTAATTGATTATTTATTTTTATTTCCTTTTTAATTGCTGTCGACAAAAAATTCTATACAAGCTCACTTGAAGTAATTAGCAAAAACACGACTTTGGGGAAATGTATCTAACTAGAAACGATGGTAGACATGCACTTACTACTGAATGATGTCTGTGGTGGATCTGACCAAAAGGATTTGCTCTGCTCGCCCCATTTCAGTCAACGAACATCACGCAAGACATGAAGGAAAATGGAATAGATTTTTATGTGTATTGATGAAAAATATTTATCACTAATCATTTAAACATATGAAGTTTTATTTTAAATAAAAATGGTGTGCGTTCATTCTCCACCGAACATAAATGGTGAATTGAGTGTGATGAGGAAAGTGGCGAGCCACATCCTGATTTCAAGAGTAAGTCTACCAGAAGAAATGAGAATTAGTTCAAATAACAAATTGTGTTCATAACGTCGATTGCGAAGCAAAATGGACAAGTATCACATATTTGGCCCCGTACTCGAGATTTCTTTGATTACAATGATGCTCAAAAGTGAAATTGTTTGTTTTAGTCTGATATGGAGTGCGCAACTGAGAGGTCAAGCAACAAGTGAATGAAACTCATGTGGTCTACAGGAACTGTACCAAAGTTTCACTTACAAACGAGAAACGATATTGTACAAACGGTGCACTTCCTTTGAGTGCATCCGCATATCTGTATTCGCTCGGGCTATGACAAATTTAATCCACAAGCAATTGAAAGACAACAGAACCTTCGTTTCTATTCACATCGACACGAATGTTTTTTGCAATCGCGTAACACTTGATCCAAATAACAACATGTCGTTTTGGATTCCGAAACTGTACAAACACCAGCGGGGCCTGATAGTTGCCTTGATTGATGAATGGATAAAACACTGAGTTAAAGATGCCATGATCTCGGCGACACCATTCTTTATCCGACTGCCCAGATCCGTATGCTTTCAGCGAGTCCATATCGTAGTAACATATCGTGCCCAAATGGTCCGCATCCACTTGGGTCAGACCTTCACATTTCACTTGAACTCCGGTCGCATTCGGAACGGGATCGGGTAACCATCCATAGATGCGATTCAACTTGACAGTAANCAGTAAAACAAGGCTGACCTTTAAAATAACCATAGCCATTTTTTAAATTACACGGACCGGATGCATCTAGGTTGTAGCGACAAGAACGTCGTGGATTCAAGTATCCACGCAAATCTTCGCAATTTGCAAACATGCCTCCAGTAAAGTGATATTGATAGTAACTCAGGTATGCTGTCATTTCATCTACCAGCGATGAGTAGGAGACAGGATTGGAGGGGCGAACATGTACCAAGCTGGTTCGATCACTGGGAGTTGGAACAACTGATACACCAGGATTCATTCTGAGGAGGCTGTTGTTCCCTGTTAATCTGGGATAATCATTCATTATAGAAAAATAGAACAATAATTTCATGTAACCAAGGAAAAAACCGAACACGAATAAATATAAACACATTGTGTAAAGCATTCTTGAACAAATACTTTTAAATACATTCCTTAGATCAAACATTTCCAAATCTTCAGATCGAAAGGCATATCTCCTGGTTAATTCCGAATGATCAGTGTATTTGAATGCCGAGGGTTTCCATCCATTTGATTTCGCATGAACCTTACGTAACAGCATATTACAGGAAGTTCACAAAACTTTTCCGATGCACATTGACACTATTTCAGTATGTAGTAGCTTAGTGAGTTACTTCGCACATTATCGTGTGAGGTGAATTGGTATCTACCAACCGGGTTCTCTGATTGGTTGGCCTCATATTGTGCCAGCCAATGAAAAGTCGTGTCTCACGTGTCAATGGTCAATCACTCCCCGAGACGATAGACAACAGAGTCTAACCTTTTCAGTAATCAAAAAGAGACAGGTTTCATCAAATGAGAATACCATTTATTATTGTTTCAGTTGTTGTTATGGTGCACAGTAGTAAACAAACACCCAAGCTTTTGAAAAGTGCAAAGAACGGTTGAAAGTGTATATAAGAAAACAAACAAATAGTGACTAGATATAAGCAAAAAGGAGTTAGGATATTTTGTTTATGAAACCTGAAACGCACTGATTATTCAAGCAAGGCTCCATATTTTTACACGCAGAATTTTCAATAGGATAGTTCAGAGTTATTAAAATAATTGACCATCATCACAAGATTCTGTTCTTTGCATATCGGTCTGTGAGTAACGTGAAATAAGAACATTGTGTAATGATTTGATAGTAAAATGAATTTTCATATCTTTTGTTTTAATGCTTGTCTACCGGAGAAATTAGTCCGTCAAAAATGTTAACATGTTTAAAAACATTTTATAGATCAAGTATGACTCTTCTGTGTTATTTTAAAACTCCGTTTTCGGGAGGTCTATAATATATAACTCTGCGATCACAAAACTTTTAACTGTTTTGGAATGTAAACATTTGTCAATCGGTGAATGAAACTAAGCATATAAGTAGCATATGCACAATAAAAGATTAATTTCACTGGCGTTATAAAATATTCAAATGCGACCTATAAAATTAATAGATGTCTTAAAAGGTAAAGAAAATTTGACTACTGCTCGGGCTATTTATTTAGTTCCGGTGGCTTCGCAGATATCAAGCTCTCTTAGTAATCTTCTCCCCTGCGTAGGTTTAACATCTCTGGGGTTATTATTCTGTATCTTCCTTTTCTAATTTTCTTTCTTTTTAAAATTTTACTTACCTATATTGAATATGCAAAGAGAATTTTCGGGAAGTAGGAGTAGTGGTGGGATTCGAACACACGTCCTTCGGGGGTGATAATTTGATGACGTTACCGCCGGGCTACCACATGATTAGATGGACTCTATGGGAGTTGTGGAGAATTTGCCTAAAATGGTTGCAAATGTAATCGTGCATGAGCAAGAAAAGTGTGAAATGAAGAGCCTGGAAACACTGTTCGGTTCGTTCGATCTTGTTGAACCTCATCAGTGGTTCTAATCTATCTGGATAACTGAGGATCAAATTGAAGACCTCGCAGTTTGTGCACAGCTGGGCTGATTGCGACGCTTCCAACAAGCTTGCAAAGGTGGTCTGTGCTTTATCGAGCCACGGGAGAATAAAACTGGTGTGATCCCCTGCTCGGTAACCCAGTTGGTGATACTTTCCTGTCGTACTTATGGCGCTTTTCGGGTTTGATCCGCACTTGTATTTCTATTGACTCGCGGTGCTAGTGCGATCCAGTCCGCTGAACAGCGAGAGCCTCCTAGTTTTTCAGTTCACGCCTTCTGTGCTCGGTATACGAAAACATTTACCATATCAATAAATTTGATCTACAACGTCCTACAGAAACGTCATAGAGCACTCGCGGAAATTGGAATTCATGTAGAAATTACACATATCTGGTGGAAAGATTGTCATTAAAATCCAAATAATTTGTTATTTCGGCGCCTCGATAAGTTATCCGTTTTTCAGGACACTATTAGAAGGAAGGATCCTTCAACTTGATAAAACTAAACTGAACCCATTGGAAAGTTAATCCCAAGGGTTTTTACTGGGATATTCGTATCAACACAAGCTGCAATGAAGATAAAAACGTATTATCATAGTCATAATAATATTTCTCCCTATAAACTAAACAAAACTGTTGAATATTCATTTATGTATTCAATAAATAAAAAGGAAAGTAAAAAGACATTTATTTTTTATATTTTGTTTTCCAACTTGAATTCGGTAGTAAGGAGGCTTGATCAACATTTATCAAGTTCTATAAAAGGATCATTGTAGGTGACAGTAAAATTTTCAATGCCCTAAGGGCCTGGCGACCTTGGCAACTTATCATTCCGCTTGAGTTTGAGTCGCACTTATTTCTCACTGTGCCGTTTAAGTCCATAGCGTTTGTATTCACCTTTCTAACAGATTGTCAGTCAAACGTAATTACGGAAAACCTCCTGTCTGACGACGGTTCCAGCCCGTACAGAAACTCGGCCCACATCGGGTTGTCTGATGTATCCGTTCGCGGGGGACATCCTGCTGCACACACGAGCCCAAACTCATTAAAAAGCGATGTAATGCAAAGATTGTTGGGTATATTTATTAACTAAATATTCTAGCTAAGCAGGGATTTATTCTGAATGGGTTTTGAAAAACCGCGTGAAAACCGCGTACAAAGAATTTCACTCTACATTTACCGCTTATGTTGAAAGCCTGCTATTCATCAGAATCATTTACATACTATCGAATATCAGTAAGCGAATGGAAGGATGGTAATTTGATATTGCTATCACTTTCATAAAAGGAGTGTGATGAAAACATACACGGATGGATGGTTATCATCACCAATGTCCATTGTTCGAACTGAAGTTTGCACATAGAGTGAAACGACGCATTATATGTTTGACAATTTGGACAAAACACATGACATCTAGCAGACCAGTTCAGCTGTGTCTGATGGGTGGGATTGGGGAATTAAAATAGGTATATTATTATCGAATGTATTGATTTTATGATCGATCTCTAAGTAGATTACTATTTAGCTTGATTTGTGAGGCATGCATAGGGAGCAGGGCTTATCTATTCTGTGCCCATAGCTCACAAATTTTGCGTATGACGTCCGTTCGGCGATGATCTGGATTGGGAGTGAAACTTTGCCCGTGAAACAAAATGCCAGTACTCGCGTTTATGGTGTTATAACACGCAACTTTCAGATTAATTTGTCGCGGTACGATGCCAACTCCCGTATGTCGAGTTATTTTTCCAATCAATGAAATGATTAATTTTCAAGACTATCGTTTATGCCCAATGTTACCATTGAGAGTTAAAAGCTACTGTGAGGCGGTATCTGTATAGCCAATGGTACCTACCCAGTAACTTGCAGCGTCGTCTGTCACAGGCTCTGATCTTTTAAAATCTTACTTATTCAATAATTTACCAAGCATCCGAACAATATCTGGAGAATTTATAGCAACCTATAAAAACTTCCTAGGAGTGGAATTTTCCATTCTGGTTAACTAAACAGTTACGTTTGATAAGTATTTTGGTGCGCGATCTTCGAAAATAAATGAAACAAACAAACAGGTATTCACTTATGTTCAAAATATAGAGTGATGTGCTGACTGAATTCTACTGCATACTGTAAAACGAGAATAACAGGTAATTCTCCTCCCCCTCCCTCTAGGGAACCGCCAAATGGACCATAATCAAACAGGCAATTATTGCACTTTTTGGCTTGATATATCTGTTTATTTATCTCTGACCGAAATGAGCATTAGGTCAACATAAATGTGGAAGCACAAGATTTCTCTAATTAGTTCGACCCCAAAAGCTGGTGATTGAAATGCGGCAATCCATTGGCAGGAACATTATTGATGCTATTTCTCATGGGACTGACATTTAAGTATGCTTTTACCAGGAACACTCAGGATTCCGAACTCAAGGGGTATTTTATTGATGGAAATTAGTGGATATTCGAAGTACGAATCAGGTACGGTCAAAAGTCGATTAGTGCTAATAAAATTTTCTGCAGGAATGCTTGTGTAAAACACATTCTCCAGGGAACCTGAATAAAAATCAATGATCTGATCTATTGAGTTCATTGCATTCACTTTAGAATCACACTTTAGGGCAGTACTTGCTGCTGTCGCAAGCTTTTCTGGATAACTTTCAGTGCCAGTGTAGCCATGTTCGATATGGGTTTTGCCCCTTCAAAGTGTAAAATATTGCGTTCAGAATGGACTGGTCTAGCACCCAGTCTCACTCTGACTAGGGAAGTAATAGATGGATAAAGTATTCATCACATTTACTAACTTGAGATATCTGTGGCGCCGTCGCGACATCCGATTGTCTGTGAAGGGTCGAGTGTATACTGCAGTAGTCGGCCATTTCTGCAATACGGCGCGGAAACCTGGCTATTGAGAAAGCAGGTTAAAGATAGACTATCAGTGTTTGAACACCGCTGTCTACGCAGCATTTACTGAATCTGGTGGGGCCGCCGGACGAGCAATGATGAGGTGAGACGCAGAGTTTTAGGTAAATACGGTCGCCCACTGGAGTAAATGGTTTACCTCCATAGATCATGTTGGTTGAGACATGTGTTACGCATATCGCCAGATAGGTTGCCGAGGCAGGTAGTGAGTGGAATAAAGCCAAGAGTGATCAAGCTAAGACCTGGCATGAGGGTATGACAACCCTAACCAAGAAACTCGGTCACATAGGTCCCGTTAGGCTCCTTGGAGAGGGCCCTCGGGATAGCTGTATTCCATGGTTAGAGATACCGAGTGATACGGCTGAGTGTCGCAAACAGTGGCGCTCATGCTTCGTGTCAGTTTCTTCACAATCTTACTGAAATTCTCTATTAATCCTGTCCTGTCTTTCTCCTACTCCTCATCCAAATGGGCAGCCAAATAGCAACAACCCAAACCGGCGCACGATAGTGCAGGGTTAATTACTATTCAAGCTAACTGAACAGATGGGTTCCATCTTTTAATCTTTGATGGTCAATAGATGAAATTTCCAAATATGGGTGTTGTAGAGAATGGTCAATGACAGTCAGTGTATGATCACTTAAACACAGCAATAATCTCATCCACATTCGCGATAGTACGAAATTGATTAACTTCTTTAAACAATGAAAATGGAAAACCATTTAATCAGTATAATAAAACAAAGTGTGATAC